AAAATTCCATAATATTTTTGTTTTTTTTTTTTTTTTTCCAATTTCTTTTTCTTCGTTGGATAGAGGAAAAAAATTGATCGGAAGCCCTAGGTCATGCTATGTGGCTTCTAGCAGGTAGAGGAAAGCAGGCGCTGACACCAGGCTGGCATTAGCAAAAAAAAATTCAAATTTTTTTTACCGTTGGCAGGCGTGACACAATCACGCTATGTGTACGTCACTCGTCAACGTTAAAAAAAAATTACTTTTGTTCGCTGATGTCATCGCCCAAGGTCAAGAGCTCAGGCTGATCTTGCCTTGGTCCTTGCTCGGGCTTGGTGGACCCCATATCTTGCCAGGGCCACTTTTGGAAGCCTAGAGGGCCTTTTGCCTAGGCTGGGCCTACTGATGGAAGTGCTCTAAGATTCGTCACATAACCATCGATTAGAAAGTCATAATCCTTTAAAAGTGAAACATTCAAAATTTCAAAAATAAAATACTTAAGGTATATTTGTTTGGAAAAATAAAATAAGAGTGTTACTATTTCCACCTCCTGTCCTATTTCTCCACCCATCATGTAAATTTGAAAAAATACAAACCTATCTTTCCACCCACCATTATTCCTAAAATACCCTTTAATTATTAATTCAAACAAACTCTCTAATCTCTTTCTTTTTCATTTTTTCATTTTTTCATTTCCTTCCCTTTTCTCTCTGTTTCCTTTCTTTTTTTTCTTGCGTTTATCCTCTCTCTCTCTCTCTCTCTCTCTTCTTCTTGTTTTTTTCTTCTTTTTCTGCTCCAGTTTTCTTCCTTTTTATTTCCTTATCTATTCTCTCTATATTTCTCTTTGTTTTCCGTGTTTAAAATGTCACTTGGATTATTTTTACATGGCTTAAGAACAAATGTATTGCCACATTTAAAAGTTAACACAAAAAACCAAGTAATATCAGAGAATCAAATTTACATCTTTGGATTGCATCTCCCATATTGGACTAAAAACCACATTTATATACTGGTGTAAAAAGGATGTACATCTGACTCTACACCCTCGTTAATATCAGAGAATCAAATTTACATATTTGGATTGCATCTCCCATATTGGACTAAAAATCACATTTACGTACTGGTGTAAAGAGGATGTAGATGTGACTCTACACCCTCGAATTTACATCTCCCCATTGAAGTGGAGATGCTCTAACGTCCCAAAATAAAATAAGAGTTTTTCTATTTAAACCCTGCACTTCTCTTTGTTCATCCCAAATTCTAAGTTCACCCTAATTTCTAATTCAAATTTTCACAATTTCTAAGAAAATCCCACTATCTTCCTAAACTACCCCTAAATACACACCCAGCAAAAAAAAAATTAAAAAACTCATCAACCTCATACCTAACAGCAGAAAGAAGCCCCTTTGAAATGGGAGCATAAACTAGAATCTACTACCAAGGCAAAAGTTGATGCTGATAGCGATAGTGATACTAACAATAGTGATGGGAAAAGAAAGTCGAGTAAGAGCACTTCCACCCATTTTCCATAGCAAAGGGCATGGGCAAGGCAAGGGTTGTTACTATTCATATGAATAGTGATAGCCCTTGCAAAAGGCTTGTGATATTTCCACCCATTGCCGTGACAACTACTATTCACATGAGATATAAAGGAGAGGAATTTGTATAGAGTTTTGGTGTGGGAAGTGAAAAATATGAATAAGTATTTATTTAAAAAAATTCTGAAAATTCTAGTATTTTTTTTAGATGCTTTTAAATATTTTTTTCGTTGCTAACGTCAGCAAACCCAGGCAACAGCCCAAGCTATTCTTGCCTTTGGGCCAACCCAGGCTTGTGGAGCCCACCAATTGCCCTGGCTGCATTTGCCCAATGGAAACACTTTTTGGGCCTAGGGGCCCCCTTGCCTGGGCAAGGATCTCGTTGGAAGAGCTCTAAAAGATGGGGGAAGAAACTTAATATGAAGAATGATGGGGTGTGTGTACTAGGGTTAAGTATTAAGTTTGATGACTTTTTTTTGTCTTTTTACACAATAACAAAACTTAAGAGTTTAATGATTTAAGTATTGGGGTAAACAAAGAAAAGTGCGGGGTTTAAATAAAAAAACTCTAAAATAAAATACATTTATAATTTGTTTAAATTGAAATAAATAAATAAATAACATCATGTTCTACCTTGTTCACAAAATTAGCCGCCAATCGTCCTCAAAAGTAAGGGTGGGCACGGTATGAGATGACACGGGATGGAGGTAATCCCGGTGTCAATCCCGAATAGGAGAATTGGTATGGGATGACACGGGATGAGAGTTTTTGAAAACACGTTCAAATCATACCGGACCCAAGCGGGATCGGTATGGTTCGGTATCAATGTTGATACCGTAAAAAATCTTCAACTTTTCATAAATCAAGTGTAATACAACAAAATAAACAATCAAGAGTCTTGATTCAAGACCAACCAAGAAATGGAAATCTCATACAAAGTTCAAGTGAAATGGAAATCAGATCTCATATAGGCTTTTACAATAAATCAAGCCTAATAACAAACAAAACAAACAATCAATCAAGAGTTCAAGTTCAAGACATGTCAAACTACAAAGCAAGAAATGGAAATCTCTCACATAGACTTTTACAAAACAAAATATCTGTAGAGTCAGAGTAGGGTAGAACTGAAATTAAATTAGGATTAATAAAACTCATATACTATTCGATACGGTATGACACAAATTGGGATCGCAAATGTAAAACCGATGTTGTGCCAAATAGTAACGGGATGACACGGTATCATCCCGTTTACAC